GTGTGTGTGTGTGTGTGTGTGTGTGTGTGTGTCTGTGCTGTGTGTGTGCGTGTGTGTGTGTGTGTGTGTGTGTGTGTGGTGACCTAGTAACAGCAGACAGAGAAAGAAAGAGGGCTGGTCAGCACTTGCCCTCTCAACCCTGCTAGCTCCGCAGCACACCCAACAAGGCAAGGGAGGGGGGGCAAGTGGGGGACACTGGGGAGGAGGGGGGGGGGCAGAGGGGGGAGAGAAAGAGAGAGAGAGAGAGCATCCACTCAATCTTTTTCAGGTTCTCTTGTCAATGCCTTGTCTTGTTTTTGGTGGGAGTTTGTAACTTTTAAGGTTATTTGAGGAGAGTCTAACCCTGGCCTCCTTTTTTCTTCCTCTCCATGCAAATAGGCGCCTGTTCTTTTTTAGTGAATACCCCCACCAGCGGTCTGTGTTAGGGAAGACGAGTTTTGGAGGTCATTCAGATATCGACGAAACCTTAACACTACATAATAAAACAGTCTGTCTCAAATTGAGGTTGGCCAGCAGCCACAGGCACGCCCGAGGCTGAGAGGAGGAAAATCAAAAACAGGGTGACAAAAAGCAGATTTCTGAGAGAAGTAAAAAAAAAAAAACCAACAACTTATAAAACTAAAGGAGGAGTTTAAAGGAGGCTTGTGGACTTCTCATTTCAGCCTGTTCACCTTAATAGAGCGATCATTCCTTTGGCATTTTCTTAAGACTGAAGGAGTTGCACTTATTTCTAGTAAATGCATTTTTCCTCACAGAATTTATAGATAAATGTTTGGGGGAAATGCAGTTTTTAGAGCTAATATCAGAGAAAATGATTTGTTAAGAAGAATGTTGTTTAAGCAAGCTTATATTCAAACTGTACATGGAGGTTCATTTGGCCAGCTTTCATATATTTATCAGTCATTGTCCCACTTTTTGTCCTGAAATGTTCGGTCATGCTGAGACCGCGTTAAAGGGATTCAGGGGCTGTGACACAGTCTGGGGTTTAGGAGAGATACAGTACATCATACGATTTCTTTCTTTTTATATTTTGCTGCGTTTTTTTTCCCAAGCTGCTCTGCGGACTGTCCCTCCCCCTGGCTCTTTATCCAGTCTACTAGAGACCAGTGTGCCGTGAAGCCGGTGCGCCACGCCGCTTCTCCACGCCAACGTGATCATCGCAGAAGAAGAAGGAAAGGGAAGAGAAAAAAAAGAGTAAATCACGGGTGGTGTGGAGTAGTGGAGCTCAGAGATAAATCACAGTACTTGTGCTTAAGCCTCCCCGTTTCCACTGAACCGAACGCATCTATTTGCGTTTTGAGAAGGGGGCCGAAATTCACTAAAGCCCAATCTGGACTGTGACAAAGCCCCTGCAGCTAAAAGAATATGGTAGTGAAACTTTAAAACTCTCATTTACTGATTATATTTCTGGGAGGAAAAAACTTAAAAATATGTTTTTCTCTGTGATAAATTATATTTTATAAGTCACCAAAATACCATCTTAAAAATGTAAAATATTCTTATGTGTATGTCTGCGCGCGTTATGTCCGTGCGCAGTAAGGTCTCCACATAACTTAAGTCAATGTATTCTTTGTCATGGCTGCTCGGTACTAAATAACAACAATAATAAAACAACAGTATCGAATTTGGAGTCACTCACTCCAGCGTGAGCTCCAAATCAGTGCCATTCCGTGCGTCCGTGGAGAGGCTTTTGGAGCTCCGACTCGTGCGTAAAGACAGCAGCGGCAGAAGGCAGAGGCAAGGTCCCGATTCCCTCACTAGTACTACCCTCTTCACCACACACACACACACACACACACACACACACACACACACACACACACACACACACACCCGGGATACTGAGGGAGCACTGGCATAAATTACTGACCTTTATGCGTAAAACAGAGGTTTCACACACATGCACACACACACACACACACACACACACACACACACACACACACACACACACACACACACACACACTAGATGGCAATTACTTTGGTTAAAGCCTACAGGAGTCTGGACCTGAGTGTGTGCTTACGCTGACATTCTTCTTCTCTCTTCAAATGTTGGTGGAATCAGTATTATAATTGTTAATGATTAACGTCATCACTTGTATACCAATTTCCCCCCGCGTCTCCAAATAGAGTCTTTGGCTCATACACTCACATATGAGTCATCCGCGCGGCTGTCATAATATCCCTGCGCGAGTCCGAGTCCCATAATTGCACGGAACTCTGATGTGTCGCCGCAGATTCATTTCGCCGTGTAATGCATATTGTTTTAAGAAGGAGGAAGTAAATCCGTCCGTGTCGTCAGTGAAACACGAGCATCACGGTCGCGAGAGAGTTCAATCAAGTTAGTTTTAATATCAGTGAGCAGATGAACATTTGTCCTGTAGGCCTGCTGGCAAGAATGAACTCTATCTGCATTTTATTTTCCAATGCAGAGGTATTCTTGTGTGGTACAGGCAGGACACTATTTAAATGGTGCATTTGCTTCATTTAAATACATTCCTACTGTCCTCAACCAAAGGAAAAAATAAAGAAAACAAGAAACGCACCTCTGCGTCGTGCGCAAAAAAACAACAACTTTTGGGTCAAAAACATAAAGTTTTGTTCTCTTTCACAATAATCTGAAAGTTAAAAATAATTTACCCATGAGATAATAATTCAGTTGGGTTACCAGATATATAATAAACTGCGTAATTTGACCCAGAATTGCACCGCAAGTCTCATAAACTACAAAGTTCGATTCCAAACTGTTTGATCAATCGATAAGTTCGGGTAATATTAGCGGTTTTTAACAAATGATGCAGGGCTCTACCTGCTATGAAACATACAGTTACTTTTTATGACTCTGGTAAGTATTTTTTCTTGCTGATTTAAGCGCAGTGAAGCTTTTAATCCATCACAACATTTAAATACATGGTTTTGGAAAGTCGTTATGTAAACGTTTTAATATCGTGAAGCATCGATGACTGATCAGTGTGCCTCTGTTTTTGTGTTACTCTCTCTCTTCCTCTCTCTCTACCTCTACCTCTCTCTCTCTCTCACACACACACACACACACACACACACACAACACACACACACACACACACACACACACTGCATGTTATCTTAAGTAGAATTTTGAAAAACTGACCTTAATCCAAACAAATAATTATTAAAGTTAAAACGACAATTATTGTTTGTTTCTGTACTTGTTAAACTGTTAGTGGTGATGAAAATGGAAAACTAAAACATTTAACTTTATGTCACTGACAAAAAGTCATTGACTTGCTTTGTATGACATTAAATTTAATATTCACACTGCTGTTCTCACGAGTCCTTGGCGTCGTGATTTTATTTCACACATCGATGGTTGAAAAGAAAACAGTTCATCAAGTTGAGAGCGCATATTGTAAGCAAACACATCTGGCACACAGCGAACTGTTAAGTTTTCCTACCTAACCCCAGTTCACAGCCAGACTGGTACAAATCTGTGTTATATACCAGAGACCGTCGAACGCTTCAATTTGGAGCATTTACACCACTTTAAAGCGCATAAAGAATTATTTTGTGATATCCCATTTTAGTTTTGTATTCATGCGTTTGGCAACTGTATAAATCAAAGCATGTCTCTTTCTCTCTCTCTCTTTCTCTTTTCCCTTCTCTCTCTCTCTCCCCCTCCCTCCCTCTCTCTCTCACCCAGACATGGTCCTATAAGGTAGGCGCAGAGGGTCTTGTCTGCATGTCTACATCCCCATTAGTGAATACAATGTGCCCGGTTCAGAGCACTTTAAGCCAGGATGAGACTACATTTACAAAAAAGAGCAGAGATGTCTCTCAAGCTGTGCTACACAAAATAAAAAACAAAACAAAACAAAACAAAACATGCGACCGAAAATTCTATTTCATTAAACTATTTAACAAAAGTGGAAATAATAATAATGTATATTTTAAACAGTTTGGAGTAAGTTTGAGTAAGTTGAGATTTTATATTAAATGATAAACATTTCAGACCCACTTTTATTTTTTACTTTATGTTCAAAGGGAGGCGACCTCGTCAATGTAAGCTCATTAATAACATACAAGATGCTGTGAGATTTACTCCTGATCACAACACAGCTTCCCCAATTGCCCGGACACCTGAGCAGGTAAACATCCTTGTAATTAAGTAGATGTTCTTTTCTTCTCATTAACACAATTATATAGCAATCTAATTTTGGTTTTTCATCCGGGCGCAAACCCGCGCTGAGCCCGGCATGAAATATTCTGCAATATTTTATTCTGAGGAAGTAAAAGTATTTCCACGGCTCAAAAATCAGCGACACGACACACGTTGTTTTTGTTGTTCTTGTAGATATTTGAAAAGGAGAATAAAATTCTGGCGCCGTGAGGAGCAAAAGACACTCGGACTGCTATTCGGGAGTGATAAAGCCAAACAAAAGCGCAGCGCGCTGGCTGACGGGCTTTTGAGAAAGTGGACTGTGTCAATCAGACGGAGAGGAGAGCTCTCCATCGCCCGTGAGCGCGCGCGCGCGATGCGTGCGCTTGCGCGTGTGAATGAGTGTTATGTTTGAGTGTACACTGAGGGGTGGGAGGGGGTATTGTAGTATCGCAAGGAATGTGCGCACGGCAGCTGTGTGTGTGTGTGTGTGTGTGTATGTGTGTGTGTGACACTGATGGATGCGCCAATGGAAAGACGGACAGATGCTTGGGCGGATCTAACGGCATGCAGTGGTGGAGCGGCGCACACAGTCGCGGCGAGATTAGGGCGAAAACATCCTCGATCGGCGGAGAGTCACCAATCACCAATCCTTCCACCGAGCCCGGTGAACGGAGGAGGAACGGACAGACTCACCGGTTTACGCGAGGAGCGACGCGGAGAGAATCTGATTCCCTCGGCGGATCCGACGAAGAAAGCGGTTTCTCCGGCTATTGACGAGCGTGAGAGACGAGGCGCAGCAGCACCACATCTGGCGCAAAGGAAGACAGGAGGAGAGAGAAAGACAGCCTTTGGCAACTCACCCTTTATTGCTCTCCCTTGTTCTTCCGTTCCCTCTCCAAGAGTCCTTTATCCTTTGTTTTCACCGCCGTGAAGTCACGCGTCCCGCACTGAGGATTGCCTGAAAAAACAGAGGAGATTATTTTTATCCACTTCACCAACTCAGTTGAATCCAAAAACTTTTATTCCTCACTGTTGAGGCGAAACACTGCGAGAAAAGGGAGCAGCGGCCTCTTCAGAAAATATCTGAACTACCTACATCTCAACTGAGGAGGATTGTGAGCTTACCTGCAAAGAGAAAAAGTACTTTATTCCATTCGGTGCCAATAAAAGGGACAGCGCTTGGTGAGGGGTTTTGCGCCTCTCCGGTCACTTGAGGCGCAGGAAGGAGAGCGGAGCGCAGTGTTGGGAGACACGTCTGATTCGCTGCGTGGCTGATTTAAATAGCTCCTATCAGGCCACGGAACGAAAAAAAACGGGAGAAAAGTACCATCAGCGGCCAACAAAGTGTTTGGCAGTGGGCGCTAGAGCTCGGCTGATCCGTGCGCTCCAGCCAGCCTGCATGCATGGGAGCAGCCTGAGCCCGTCCCCTCCTCCTCCTCCTCCTCCTCCTGTACATTATTACAACAAGGGAGACCCAATCAAGCACGTATCTCGTCGATTCACTCACACACAGACACACGCACACCACCACGCACTCGCGCGCGCGCGCACGCACGCACACATACTGACTGTGTGACTTGCCCTCAGCGGATTTTTCAAAGCGCTCTCGGACAAAATATCGTAGCCGTGCCAGGCAGGGCAGCGTGTGGGCGACCAGTCCCGGTCGTCACCTCCTCCTCTTTCTCCTTCTCCTCGTTTCGCCTCCGCTGTCGGTCCTGAGAATAACAAACTGAAAAAGCTGCATGTGGCTCTTTTTTTTCCGCTCGCCGCCAACAGGACTTGCCAGAGGCGAATGGATTTTATGAGATGGTTTCAGGCACGTTTCAGCTGGTCCACCTCTTGGCTTTGAATTGTGCGTGATTACCGGGAGGGGAGAAGCGAAAACCTCATGGATAGCGCGGCGGAGGATCAGCCCGTAAAGTAAGTATGCATTTCCGTTCCGATCACGCTGTCAGCCTGCTTGTGCTTGTGAATGATACTGTATATGAGTGTGTTTTTGTTAGGGTACCATGTGTCTGCATGTCTGCTCCTCTCCTCAGAGCAGGCTGCAGTATGACTGACATTACGCACATTTCGAACCAAAAGCCTCCGATTACCGTTTGGAATAGACGGGGCTAGAACGAGGCAGTGAATGACAGAAAGAGAGTGAGAGGGGGTAAGAGAGGCAGAGGGGGAGATAGAGAGAGAGAGAGACGGGGAGAGAGAGACAGGGAGCTACGTGACGCCTATCAGCGGCGGAGAGGTTGAACCGTAGAGGAGGCGCAGGGCTTCAGTTGTGTCAGCTCTTGATGTGTTGTCCCCCTTGTTTGCGGACTTTTGACTGACGCGATCATTTGATTTTATCCCTTCAAGCTCGCCTGTTGCAGCCTCCGACGCCAAGTAAAGAGGATCACACGGAGGCACACGGCGCTTTTTTAAACCTCCCTTCTCTGTTTTTCTACCGCGGAGCCCCCTCTGTTCCTGCTCCCGCCGCGTCCATCCAAGTCGGAGCGGGCGAGACAGCGACCGACAGAGAGAGCAGCCAACCGGGGGTTGATTTCCCCCTCTCGCTCTCCCTATTTTTTCTTTTTTTTTCTTTTTTACTATCTTCGCATCTACTGGCTCTTTCTCCTCTGATTTATTTTTGTGTTCGAAAACTGCACACCCTCCCCTCCTTACACACACACCCACCCCGATCTATGTGGGAGCCCTGAGAGCGCACCCAGGGGGGAAAACTGTGTATCAAAGCTCCGAGGATCCCCCAGGCAACCTCGGATCACCGGGGCCAGAGAACAACTCCCTGCCGGGCCCCCGAAGCCGACATGCCGCGGAGGAAGCAGCAAGCGCCTCGGCGCGCCGCAGGTAAGCACTGGCTTTTGGTTTGCTTGCAAACTCTCTCTCTCTCTCTCTCTCTCTCTCTCTCTCTCTCTCTCTCTCTCCCTCTCTCTCCCTCTCTTCCCCTCTCTCTATTTGTGTCCCCCCCCTCCTCCCCGCCTCCCTCATTCAGTTACTTTTCATTAATATTTCACTCACCCACATAGTAACATTTATGTAGCTGCAACATCTTTTGTTGTGTTCTGTAAACTGACAAGGGAAGGGCCAACATCCAGCACCGTGCATACACTTTCCCCAGCTCCACAGCCCTCAAAACAACTTTTCCCTTCTCATACTACACCTATCCTATCATTTCTCTCATAGTAATTTCCAATATAATCAGCTGATGTGCAATATCAACCATACAGTACCTCTGTTATACCACCTATTAGGGAAGATCCTTAACTCCACATATTTTTCTTTTTAAGTACCATCAGTAAACACCACAAAGGTCATTCTTTTTGTGGCCTGTAGAGCAGAAATAATTAGTCACTTGGTCAATCAGTCGATCAACAGAAAAATCTCTAGTCCTTTGCTTTTCAAGAAAAAAAAAAGTCAAACATTTGCAGTCACTTGTACAAACGCGAGCATTGCTGCAAATCCTTTCTCAAAGACATTTGAAGATGTCACTTCAGGCTTTGGAAAACTGTGATGGGCATGTTTCACAATTTTCTGACGCTTTACAGACAAATCCACAAATAAAGAAAATAATGTTGATACTGCAAATAATTTTTAGCCTGTATATTATTCGTATTTTTCATCCACGTATTTGGGATGAAGAGCGGGTTTGGGCGTTTACAGGTGTGACCCTACAACAGTCATCCTATTGCCTCTCAGAAAGGTCACAGGTCAGCCTCGGCGTACCAGTGCATGTAACCTAGAAAAGAGTGTCAGCGTGAGAGTGTGAAGCCCTTTTCCCTCCTTCGCTCTCCCTCCTCGCCTCGGAGAGCTTCCATAGGTCTCTCTTTTCACTCCTGTACGGCGCCTCCTTCTCTTCCTCTTCCTTCTCTGCTTGTAGATATTGACTGTGGAATTAAGGATCTATACTGGAGAGGTTTGGTGGAGCCCCAGGGTCAGCTGACTGTCACAGAGGCCTTTGATGCTCTCTGATTTCTGTCGTGGAAGTCGGATTGACTCTGAAACATCCCGAGAAATCACAGGAAGTGAACTCTTGTAGACGCGTTTGTCTCACACGATCAGCATCTTTCTCTCGATTTTTCTTGCCGTTCTCATTGAGACATTACTTTAATATTCCCAGTGCAGTGCCGGTTTGATTGCCCACCAGTGATACTGTTACACCATCATGTTGCTGCAATATTCTCTACGGGAATTTGGAATGTTTTGATACACAATATTGGGTTCTAATGACCTTATTGTATTTTCTATCCCCCATCGTATCAGTATATTTCGACAATATTCACATAAAAACGATTCCTACAGTTTGCTCTTACTCATTGCTGTGTATTCCTTTGGGACTTTAATATAGTAACCTCTCTGAAAATTTTCTTGGAGATTTACCATCCTTGTTTTTCATCAGGGCTCGGCCTGTTTTCTTTCTCTCCTTCCCTTCAGTTTCTGGGAAAGACTTTTTTCCTTCTAGTCTAAAGATTATTTCACAGCCCAGGGAGGGAGTGTATACTGGAAGAGAGCTTTAATGGACAATTGCCATCTTTGATTTGACGCCTGATTGATCACCTGTCATCTGGCCGAGCCTTTGATCTGTTCATTCCCGATAAGTGTCAATAAATCACCCCTCGCCTCCCCTCCCCTCCCTTCCATCCCTCCCGCCCGCCCTCCCTCGCTCACTCTGCTATAGCAGATGAGGGCCTGCTGAAGTCACGTCTGGCCTCACAAACTTCTCGCCATTAACGCCACCGTTTAATTGCGTGTGTATCTTTTTTTCCTTTCCCCCACTTGTTTTTAGCCTCTCCCCCCCTCTTGGCCTCAGACTGGATGAAGAACTGAACATCAGCTTTTATTTCATGCTCCCGTTAAAGTGGAGGGAGAGTTTTGGTGTTCTCATCAGATCATTTAGGAGACTAATAATTTGTGTTCTTTTGCAAAATGTGAGATTTTGAGTCAATTAAACAAATATGATCCATTATTTTTTTGTAGCTCTTGCCTCGTAGGAACGTGGCAAATTACCATTTGTATTTATTATTGTGAATTATGATTTATGCGTGACCTTTAGCATTTTATTCTAAGCCGTTTTTACCTTAGCAAGCTCTTGTTTGCAACTTTCCTTCCCTCTTAAGGAAGTTCTCGAAAATTGCCACCAGCCTAACAGTGCACATTCTAACACACATAATTACATATGTGCAGCGGTGCATGCCCAGTAGACATGCTGCAGTGACTTTATAGTACATATAAACCAGCATGCAATGCCTCTCGCACACACACGCACACGCACACATGGAGTGGTATGAAAAATGTAACTATTAGCCTAATCGTGAGGCGGAAGACTGGTTTGCTCCATCAGAAGGGCCCGTCAGAGAGACTTTGTTTCATATTTGATTTAATTGTCTGCCCTCTGACAGCCACATTCATCAATGGCCCTAATGGTCAATCAGAGGCTGGCACAGAGAGGGAGAGAGTCTTATGTATTCTCAGCCCAGGGCCTTACTTGATCAAAATGTTTTAGCCCTAATGGACACAATGGGTGGGGGCAAAGGAATGGGGTGGACGGACGGATAGATGGATAGATGGATGGATGGATGGATGGATGGATGGATGGATGGATGCATAGGGGGATGACTGAGAGCCTTTTTATTCCGCCGGAATGAGCAAGTGAGTGTGCCGGCAGTGAGAGCGGCAGAGAAAATGAGGCATTTATTTCTTTGATGAGCGGACGAGAACAAACACGAGGCAGGCGAAGGAGGAGTTTCATTTTAGACTATTGGCAGCTTCCTATTTTTTACCCTTCACTCCTCCTCCTCCTCCTCCTCCTCCTCCTCCTCCTCCTCCTCCCCTCATCTCCTGCTCCCTCCCTCCCTCCCTCCTTTGCTCACAGCTGCAAGTTATAAGGTTGAGGAGAACTGCATGGCACACAAAGAGTGATGACAAATTGATTGCGCCGTAGTGATGGCAAGAGTTATGGGAGGATGGCAAATGATAGGCCTTGATTAGGAAAACTGGGGGGAGGCAGTGGGGGCGAGGGCAGAGTACCCCCAACCTTGAGTTGTTTTATTTTTTTTTTTTTTTTCTCTTCTTTTCTTTCTCTTTTTCCTCTCTTTTATGTCATTCTGATTCGGCCTCTCTGTTCCGCACCTCGAAAGTGAAGCGCGGTATATCACAGTGAGCTTCAGCGACTCATTCAACCATCACATTCGTTAAAATGGCATACACTTGTAAATCTGGCTAAAGGTCAGTGTGTTTATTGAAAAGTTCATTTAAATCCGCTGATCTGGAGCCTGTTTTTCGTTGGTTATTACCAAAACAGACCACAGGAACATGGCGTCACAGTCAGCTCCTCTGCAGGGCTCTCGGCTTTAAGAAATAACCCTGTTTTTTTTACAACTATCCCCATCCTTTCCACAATCCCACACAGAAGAAACTCCCTCTTTCTTTTCCAACAAACCTCCCCACCACCACCACCACCACCACCACCACACACACTTTCCACCCCAGCGACGGAGCGCACTCAGCTGTCTAAAAAGAGGAGTTGTTTTGCCAGCTTCATTAGCGTTCTCCTAATTAGCCGAGCATCTGATGGATCTCTGACAGGCCTAATGATTGGAGATGACAAGCTCCGCACACTGTCACGCTCGCCAATTAGGTCTGTGGCATAGTTGGATGTAATCAACTTGATCTTACACTGTCCTCATTTGCACCCCCCCTCTCCCACCCAAACGCTCCCCTTTTCGACCCCACCATAGGTGAGGCTTTTGAACGGTGATGGCGCGCTATTAGCGCTAACTGGCGCTAGCTGGGTAGGAAGCTAATGCCGGTCATTTCTGAGATCAGCCGTGAGGATGTTGCATGGACCAGATGGGATAAACGATGCATCTGATATGTGCTTCATGCTGGCTTATTCATGTACACATGTATACGTGCGCACAGACACCACTTTCTGAGCAAGGGTATTTATTTTTTCAGTGCTCCCGACATCAGGAAAGGACAAAGCTCAGGCGAGCGGTGGGCTTTTGTCCGTGGGCTTCAAAGCCAGGCTAGACCAAACAGATCATTGTTACGGGAGAGGAAGCTTAAACATCAAACATCTCGTGTATTTTTTTTACCTGACGACTTTTTTTTTTGTTTTCACAGTTAGAAATTCTACATGACTCGCTTTATATCCTCACATGAGCTACTGCAAATCTATTGTTCCAAAGCTATGTAGGTTATTTCAAATGAAGGATGTTTAGCAGTAAGTAGCAGCTGCGTGGTGTTAACATAACTCTGTGTGTGTGTGTGTGTGTGTGTGTGTGTGTGAAGGTCCTCCTATGAGCCGGCTGCAGATTGATGACGTTGACACTGGTCATTATTAGCTACTCAATGACACTTTCCCGGAGTAGGAGGATTTTTCACCGGCGTTGATTTTTCAGAAACACCTATCATCAGCACGGTGTCCAAAGAGGCTAAGCATGATTTATGTAAATATTAACATCAAGACAGATCTGGTTCTGTCCAACAGGAGATAGATGGCAGCCGAGGAGGAAAAGCAGCTGATTTCTGTGATTTCTCTGCCTCTGCGTGTGTGTGTGTGTGTGTGTGTGTGTGTGTACGTCTGCGAGTGTGTGTGTGTGTGTGATTGATTGTAGATGAGAGCAAGAGATTAATCATGCTTGATGTGTGTTAACGTTGCACTCGCGGTGGATCTAAGTCGAGATGCAGTGGCCCACTTAGATATACTCACTCACACACACACTCTCGCAGACTCACAGGAGGGAGCGGGCACACTCGCACACACTCACAATACAAATACACACATTGCTCGGCTGTGCATGGCGTCGCACACATTTTTAAAAGGAATTTTGAATGTATAGAAGCAC